AGTATCAGTCACATGGAGGCAGGGGGTGGACTGATACTGGCAATAGCAGCACTGTAGGAGGGGGACCAATGAAAACGGAGGCCACCACCTGTTAACAATATGTGTTAATTAGGTGTCATTGATAGCCATGTGATGTGAGTATCAGTCACATGGAGGCAGGGGGTGGACTGATACTGGCAATAGCAGCACTGTAGGAGGGGGACCAATGAAAACGGAGGCCACCACCTGTTAACAATATGTGTTAATTAGGTGTCATTGATAGCCATGTGATGTGAGTATCAGTCACATGGAGGCAGGGGGTGGACTGATACTGGCAATAGCAGCACTGTAGGAGGGGGACCAATGAAAACGGAGGCCACCACCTGTTAACAATATGTGTTAATTAGGTGTCATTGATAGCCATGTGATGTGAGTATCAGTCACATGGAGGCAGGGGGTGGACTGATACTGGCAATAGCAGCACTGTAGGAGGGGGACCAATGAAAACGGAGGCCACCACCTGTTAACAATATGTGTTAATTAGGTGTCATTGATAGCCATGTGATGTGAGTATCAGTCACATGGAGGCAGGGGGTGGACTGATACTGGCAATAGCAGCACTGTAGGAGGGGGACCACTGAAAACGGAGGCCACCACCTGTTAACAATATGTGTTAATTAGGTGTCATTGATAGCCATGTGATGTGAGTATCAGTCACATGGAGGCAGGGGGTGGACTGATACTGGCAATAGCAGCACTGTAGGAGGGGGACCACTGAAAACGGAGGCCACCACCTCTGTTTAATGATGGACGGTCTTTCTTCACAAAAATGTCTTTTTTTACTCCTCTCAAACCAACGTTCCTCTCTATCAAGAATGAGAACATCCTCATCTCTGCAGCAAAATAAGCTAATTTAAAAGGTGAACGATAATACTTGTCCTGCCCGAGAGCTGTTGGCTTTAAGTAACTGAGAAATTTTGTTGGATAGCATTACAGTATCAAACAGTATTAAATAAGCCAACATCGACCACAAACTACATCTCCCATAATGCATGCTGATTATGCATTGGAATTCCCTGTTGGTAAGTAGGAGAGTTCAGAATTCAAGATGGCAGCTACTCACTACAACTCATTAGTGAGTAAAACGCTTTCTTTTAGTTTTAATAGTATTTCTATATTATGTATTTCACATTTAGTCAGTTGTACACATGGTACTTTTCAGTGTTAATAATAGGACGTGTTGAAAACGCTGTTTCTGTGCAGGAAATACCAGGCAGAGCTCAGTTATTTTTAGCGGTGCTCAGTCATAGCAATGAGACAAGGAATATGTTTTGTCTAAATTAAACGTCAAAATAAATTACAACTGGCCCTTTGAGGACCACCATAATGCTCATGTGGCCCTCGGTGAAAATGAGTTTGACCCTCCTGGTCTAACCGATCCCCGATATGAGCTGCCGATTTTATGATGATAAAAAGAGACACAATCATAAGAAATGTTACACAAGTCTCAATTTAAACAAAGAAACATTTGTTAATAAATCATGTTAACAATGGATAGCAAATAATGTAGAAAATTTAAATACTGTATATAACAATAATCAGTCACGACACAAGAAAAGAAAATATCAGCCCAAAATATAGACCGTCTGATGTATCGGTCGACCTCTCAAAACTTAAAACACTATTTCTGTTGTATTTATTAAAAATGTCACTCAGCTACTTCCAGATTCCCTGTAGATTATTTCCAAACCTGGAGTTGAATAATACAGTATAAGATTTAAAAGTCAAGGGGAAATTGTGACAGATGCAGCAGGTTTTAAAGTGAAATCCCCCATCTTTTCTAGGACACTAAGCTACCTTGACTAATATATGTAACTTTAAAAGACATTCTAATTTGGATGCACCATCTTCCCTGCCGACTGTCAGATCAACAGTTTTTTTAAAGCCTAAAAAGTTCTACCGCTGTTCTTTCCAGTGATTTCTGCAAGAGAAAATGTGTAACCTTCACAGACAGAGAAACTCATATTGTCAAATTTGAATTAAAAGTTGCTCTTCAGGCTTCCGTGAGAGGAGGGGTGTTCTTTGTTCCAAGGAGGCGGCAGGCATGTCTGACTGCTTCCAAATTATATCAAATATTCAGTAAAAGTACAGCAGCAAGTTTTATTAAAACAGGCTCTAAATATAACACAATTTTTTTTCTCCATTCTGTTTTTGTTGTTTATCACAGGAAAAACAACCAAAGAAATTATGGCAATCATCTCTGAATATGAACGGCTGCAGAGTGTGTAAGATTTGTTGATAAAACAAGTCGACTTTTTGACCATTTAAACTGTAAATTCATGATTATCACTTATTTATCCTACCTTGTAGCATGAGTTCAGGCTGGCGTTAACGGTTTAAACAAATTTTAAACTGCATCTACTTCAGTTTGTACACTGCTGCTCAACATAAAGGCTGTGTCTCAGTTCAGTTCATGGGTTGCAACTGATATAGACGGCGGTCAATGTTGGCCACGGTCTACGTGGGCCGTAGACCGCTCATGTCGGCTGTGTAGTGTCTAAGAGTGGGGGGTTTGTCTCAGGAATGCATAGATGTGAGGCCCCTTGAGCCTCCAGCTTCAGAGCTCGGCACATATCACCATATTAGGAAAGAAGAACGCTTGAGGTATACCGTGACAGGATTTATGTACATCTGTGGAAAATGTATAAAGAGCCCTGTACGCCCCCGCCCTTGGCCTTCGTTTCTCCATCTTTCTTACTTGGTGAATCATTTGACTTGGAGGCCACAATTTGGTTTTTTTAGGCTGTATCTCCTGAACTGCAAAAATAAAGGTTCTTGCTGTTCAAACCAGCCTTGTTTTCAGAGTCATTTTTCATCGAGCAAACAATCAGTTCAACTTCAACCAGAAGACATGGTTTTCTACACCTCAGCTGCGTAAATGGCTGTGAAATGAGACGGTCTAGTTTACGGAAGATGTATACATGACCAAGCACTTCAGTTGTTTTTTTTTCAATGTATCTTCATAAAATTCATCGAAGTATTAATAATTTGAGTTTAGCTTCAGCATCAGAACTTGTAACTGTTTTTTTAACATCTCATTGCAACAAAAGTTTCTTCGGCTAAGTTGCTTAACTTACTTTCTTCGGGCTGTGATAAATTTCCAAACTCCATCATAAAAAAAAGAATAAATAAATATCTGCCGTAAAATAATAATTTAAAAAATCTGCTGTCTTTGCTTTGCTGTTTTATTTGCTGACAGTACAATGCATTCTGGGAAACAGTGGGCCGCGTGGGATCCTCAGGAGCAGCCTACGTTTTTGGGGTTTTGGTGGGCCACATTTGTAGGCACCTTCAAATTGACATTTAGTGGCAGGAAAACTTACCCCTAAGCTGTCTTCCTGCCTGTACTGTCTCCAGTTGTGTCCTGTGTCGCTGAACATCAACAGGTAGGCCGTCAGCCAATCAGAGCTGCCATAGCGGCCCTGCGTGGCGACAGCGGTGATTTGGGTTCGTCTCTCCAGATCCACCTCCAACCACTGGTATTTATCTGACAGCAGAGGAGACCAGCCTCCAGCTCCTGCGTGGATAAAAAGGGATTAAAAATGTGTTTAACGGTGGAAACCTGCTGGAATTAAAGTTCACTTCAGTCACTTCAACAAGTAACTGAAGTGAAGTGATTTTATTTGATGCATATTTTTCTGTCCATTGTCATTATTTTCTACTCTCATACACTAGCTTTAACAATCACAATTAATCACAAGTCATTACTGTAAATCTGTTTTAATTATTGTCTGATACAAGTATTAACAATCCCTTCATCCGTGTTAGTCCATGTTTCACTGCTAATCTTCTCCTTGGGCTCCTGTTAATTGGTCTCCTATCAACCTTTGGTTGGTGTTTCAGTAAGGTGATACAAACGTTGCAAAATGAGAAACTAAAAATTCTTCGGAGTCCCGTGTAATTCCATACATTTATGTTAAAGTGGCAAATTATGTAAAATCAACATTTTTGAGTTATATATCATGTTATAATGTTATACTCTCATAAAAAAACATGCCCAAAGCCTTGCTCTGACTCATTCATGCATGTYTGAGAAATCCTGCAGCGTTTTTATGAAGCCATGCTGAGGAGCAAAACGACAGGTGGGGACCAGAAACGCCCCTGGGACGTGTCTTTAAGCCGAGCTTCCTCATGGCAGAGCGAACCCCCTCCCTCCCCACACACACCCCGCCCATGACTCCTGCAGGCTCTCGGGTGAAAGTGAAAGTGAAACCTAACTGTCTGCTGAGCTCTCAACATTACTTCTCACTCAGTGAAGCTATTTTCAAATTAAAAATACCTTTGAGGAAATGTATTTTCAGATGCCAAGTAAACTGCATCATGGCAGCCCCACCACCCCCCTGCGAGTGCGAGGCCCCGCACCGAAATGGGCAAAACGGAAGCAGAAGGTGGTTCTTAAAGAGACAGAGGCCAATTTCAAGGCGTTTAGAAGAGGAAGTGATGAGAAGATAAGTTTATTTTCTATTTAAACATAAAAAGAGCCTTTTAATAACAATTAAAGGTGACATAGATACTTTATTATGGTATAGTATTTAAATATATGCCTGAGAAACACATAACATTGGCCCTTTAAACAGTTTTGAAGTTTAAAATTAAGAGAGAAAACATTGAATTAGCTGCAGTAAATGCTTTGTGTTGAGATATTTAACGCAGGGGCTTCATGTTTGTTTCCACCTCTGAATTTATAATCTGGCAATGAGTCCTCCAAAAAAGGTATTTGCATGATTTACGGTTTAAAAATTTTCACATTTTATGCATGAACCTCCCAGGTTGCTCCAGAATCACTTTAATTCTATGCACTGATATGAATGAAATCACAAGGCAGAAACGTTTGTTATTTTTTTCCACAGTGATTTGCAGACCAGGATTGAGTCTCTTGGGGGTAACGTGCTTCGTTTAAATCCTGGAAACAGCTGCTGCAACAGCTGGAGAGGGCGTCGAGTTATGTGTGGGATTAGTTCACACTGTGTTCATTTTGTAGTATGAAAAAAAAATCCCATTAGATCTGTGAGGTGTTTGACACAGCAGCCAGAAAAAAGACAACTAAAATACTGACGGGGTCACCCCGAGAGGGAATATAAACATTTCCACCTGTCTTTGACCCTGGTCTCAGAAGACCTCCCTCAAAAGAGACATTTTTAT